ACCAGTTTACATGTATTAATTTCCTACAAGAAGTATCATCCTTCAAGGTGTCTAGTCCGCTTTAGACTAGTCATACAGACAAGCCATAGGCCCCATGATTGCGTGGGGGACTCAGGATCTGAAAAGTCTTCAGAAGATCATTGTCCACTCCAACTTGAATTTTAGACTTTAGGAACCATGCTGCTAAAGCTTATGAGATGGAAAACCTAGAAGTTCATGTAAGGTTAGAAAGTAGATAAATTACATAAATTATAAAAGAGCCAGACACATGCCTGTAATCCCAGTATTCAGGAGGACTGTGAGTTTGAGGCCAGTCTGAAAGCACTCATCCCAGAAGAACACATGGACACAGTCACGTACAGGAAAAGCAGTTTATTGCCAGCTGAGGCTGACAAGACCACCTTCTCCATGGAAGAGAGAAATGGTGCTCGTTCTCTGTTCAGGGTCAAATTTATAGTCAGGGGCTAGGGGTAAAACACAGCTCTGGGAAGTGGAGTGAGAAGAGCGGCCAGGCCTGGCCAGATCCAGTGGTTTTGTAGGAGCGCCCGAGGACCTGAGATGGAGGTTACATTCTGAGTTTCAGGCCAGTTTGGGCTACACAGCAAAATCATGTCTCAAAAAAAAAAAAGTCAAATGCCAAAATGTTACCTTTGTTCGAAAGTTAAACATATCATGAGCCATTAGGAAATAAATCAGTAAGAGCCAGTCTCTACCCAAGTGCCTGTTCACTTTGGACTGTGGGCTCTACACGTGGAGAACAATCCATTTGCTAAGGAGCCGTGCCATCAAAGTATACCTGGCCCTTCTGGAGTCCCCATGGTACAGTAGGACCTATGCTTACTCTGTGGTTGTGTCATTTAGAATGTGGTCACTAATAGAGAAGGCATTGGTCAGATCTAATGAAAGTTCAAGCTGTTCATGGTTACAGGATCTCTCCAGAATAAACACTTCCGTTTTCAAACTTAGACACCCATAGCTCTCTATGCAATCAATAATCAGTACTTGGAAAGGATCAGATTTGATAGAGTTCAAACTCAAGGGCTAGGTAAATTTATAAAGTTCTGAAAGAATAGTACTATATGATTATGAAGCCACTCAAAATTCTATTATTAAGGAAGTGAGAACAAAGAATCAACAAAAATCTTAAGGACAAGCATTTTAAGACAGTTCTGAGGGTCCCTCTGAAGCATCTCCAGAAGTTGGGGTAGCAGGTAGCCCAGTACTCTTTGTGTAGAAAAACTGCTCCTTCCTCGACTCTGCTACATGTTTCTAATGGAAGCTACCAGTGAAAAGAATCTTGTCCATTCTAGATCACTTACTTGTGAGGGAACATTAAGCTAATTAACATTAACATCATGTCTTCAGGTTTCTAACCTATAAGAAATAAAAGGTCAAGCTGGGAGCCAGTGGCTCATGTCTGCAATCCTAGCTACCCATAAGGCTGAGGTCTGAGAACTGAGGTTCAAAGCCAGCCAGGGCAGAAAAATCCCCATGAGACTCCAATAAATTACTCAAAAAAGCCGGAAGTGGCCCTGTGGCTCAAGAGGTAGAGTGTTAGCCTTGACCATAAAGAGGCTTAGGGACAGTGCCCAAGCTCTTTAGTTCAAGCCCCAGGACCAGCACCAAAACAACAACAAAAAAAACCCCAACAGATTGAAAGAGAGGAAGAGGGGTGATTTCCCGAGGATGGAAATTGTGGGATGTGATACCTGAGGATATTTTCTATAATATGGGGGAAAAAATTAGTGCGAGTCCCTGGTGTGTGTTGTCGCTGAGGCCCAGCTTCACCGTGGCCTGTCCATGTATAAATGACATGGGCCCACCCCATGTCCTTCCATTAAACTTTGTTCTGACTATTGCACTTGATTTCTTTAACAGACAACCAAACATCTTTTTTTTTTGCCCAGACATTTGGAGGCCTGAGGACAGAGTTGTGTTCTCAGGCTGGGTAAGCATGAGTGTGTTCACAGAAAGTTGAGTTATGAAATCTAGGCCATGTCTAGAAAGGGACTAGCAGAGGCTCTACAAAGTGTAGTAAGACAGATGAGACATGGTGATGGAAGAGATTGAAGTTTAGTCTTTCACAGGTAGAGCAAAAGGCTGATGTAGAGCTGGAGCCTTCCCTGAGCATTGGGGATGTCCTAGAAGAGATGGGAGGAAGTAGATGAACAAGGGCTTCCAGTGGTATTAAGGAAGTCTAGTATCTGGGCAGGGTCTTAGAAGAAGCTGGGGTGAGGTTACTTTGGTTTCTTACCCTTCTCTCAGGAAATTCTTATACTGCTTTTTCAACAATGAAGAACATAACGCAAGTACATGCTAAATTATCAGCAGAACATTTTGAGGTGAAGCCGTGGGATAGGGTAGAAAGTCTAGGCTAACTTAGAGACTAAGGGTGCACCACAAGAGATGAGGTCCAGGAGAGGAGGTGACAGGCTTCCTAGTGCTGCTTTGTCCCAAGTATATTGTTAAATCCCATCACATGCTCCTTAATCTGCCACCAAGAGCAAGGCAGTAAAGGAGAGCAGACCACCACAGAACTGAGGTTTGGGGCACCAGGGGATCTGTAGCCTTCTGCCAGCAACAGATGCCAAGATTCCATTCACCAAGCAGGAAGTAAGGTACACACTTCACATGTGACAATATTTTGTATAAAAGTGGTAGCTGACCTCCTTATTCTGAGAAAGCAGAGCTAAACAGTAGCCAGCTTATAATTTGCATAAACCTAAGTCTGCACTCAGGCTCCCACACAGTTTAGGGTGGAGTTAGCTCACACCCAGGATAGAAATCTGAATTCCTGTTAAGGTTGGACTGATTGCCCTTTCCAGGAAATTCTCTGCATTCTGAGTTGGGAGAAGGTATTCCAAATTCTCAGTCCTTTCACGTTTCACAGCTTGAATTTTCGGGCTCTAGCTGTATATGACTTTGGATAAATATGTCTATTACGTCCTCTGAGCCTCAGGACAAATGAGAAATACAGGACCTGCCCCATGGTTCCTTGAGGATTGAATGAGAAAACCATATGAAGGATTGAGGAACAGGCTCTGTGTTTGCTACTGTCGGGTCCTACTAACAGCGTTCACTGTAGCAAGTGCTTAAGGTTTTTGTCCTAACACCTGTAGAATGTAGGTGATGTTGAAGGCTTTTTGATGGTTTTATTTACTTATGTGGATGCTGGAGATTGAACGCAGGCTTCATGCATGCTGAGCCATGTGCTCTGCTATGGAGCTACACACACAAACCCAAAGTAACTTTTTTTGTTGTTTGATCATGAACTCAGGGCCTAGGTGCCATTCCTGAGTTCTTTTTGCTTTGACCCACAGCTCCACTACTGGTGTTTGAGTGGTTAATTGGAAGTAAAAGATTGTCACACAGCCTTTCTTGCCTGGGCAGCTTTCAGTCATGATCCTCAGATCTCTGCCTCCTGAGTAGCTAGGATTATAGGCGTGAGCCACTGGAGCCTGGCCCAAAGTAACTTTTTGTTGTTGTTGGTTGTGGGGCTTGAACTGTGGGCCTGGGCACTGTCCCTGAGCTCTTAAGCTCAAGTTGAGCTGTCTACCATTGCGCCACATTGCCACTTCTGGTTTTCTGGTGGTTAATTGGAGATGAGTCTCATGGACTTTCCTTCCCGGGCTGGCTTTGAACCGCAATCCTCAGATCTCAGCCTCCTGAGTAGCGAGGATTACAGGCTTGGTGAGCCATGGGCACCCAGCGTCAAAGTAACTTTTTATCACCTCTACTAGAGGTGATAGGTTTAAAAAAAAAAAGAAAGAAAGAAATTGACCTGTGGTAACCACTAGATGGCAGGTGTGCAGAGATAATTGCTATCTGGTTTTGGGAAAACTTCTGATTGCACAAGTCTACTCTAGGAAAGTGAAACTGAAGGCTGAGATCTGAGGATTGCAGTTCAGAGAAGCAGAGCTCGAGGCCCTGAGTTCAAGCCCTAATTCTAGTGCATGCATATATACAGTGCCTTCTTTTATCTGCAAGTTATAAACTTTAATATGTTAATTCTCAGATATTTTTTAAAAAGTCTTCATTCCTGCTGAGCTTCCAAACACATAGGCAACTGTGTATTGTAATATTTTAAAAGCAGAGATTGGGAGAGGCCACCATGACTGCATTTTTCACCTACATGAGATGTTTCCAGGCTCCAAGTTGGGGGTCGTTTACTATAGGAATGCTCCTGCCCCAGGCACACCCCAAGACCTGCTGGCCTAACTCTCGGTGTGCGGCAAGGGCGCAGAGCATCCTTCCGCTCCTTCGGCTCTCCTCTCCATCCCTTCTAGGCTAAACCGGAGCATTCACCAATGGTCTCTTATGGACTGTAAACGCCTCACGAACGAACATCGTTGTCATTTTCGTGGCGGTGCTGGGCCTTGAGCTCGATTCGTTCGGCCGGGCGCCCAGCCCTAATCACACGTGGCCACTCTCTCCTCCGTCCTCGTGTCGTCTCGCCCGGCTTCGGAGCAGGCAGCCCACGGTGCCCCCGCCTCAGCTCGCCGGCACGCAGCCCCGCGACACCCAGGGCCCATGTGCGGCCTGCCCTGGGGCCGTGCGGGGGGGGAGGGAG